CTGTTGGAATTAGTTCGAATTTTAGGTGTTTAGGAATAAGGTGTTTTATCCACGAAAGTGACCGCATTTCTTTGAAAAAAATTATCCCTGAGAAGATGAGAAAATCAACCAGGCGTACATTCCTAACTTAGTCATGACTTGTTCTTTAAATTCTACTAGTTTTTCAATGTCTCGGCTATAAAAAATTTCGACCTAGATCTCAGGTAATGGTGCTCGACCGTCGAGTTCTGGTTGAAAAACCAGGTCTGGAAATGGAATGACGCGACTTGTTGGGAAACCTAATAGTGTAATGTTCAGAAGAGGTCATGTATAAGTAGAGGGTACATCATTGATTGATTTCTCCCAAGGGAAGATGTAGTGGCAAGTGGCACGCTTACCACGCGAGCGGTCCGGGGATCAAATCCTGGGTCGTGAGTCGCCCGGGCCAACCAAGCCTTCCATCCCTCCGGGGTCGGTTAATTGGTACCAGACTTGTCTGGGAGGATAAAAACACTGACTTGTACATCGGCTGGCCCCCGCAAGTCATTGTATAGGCCACATCGCATTCAAACGCCACTACGAATGTACAAATGGAAGTAGAATGCGTGCCGCATCCCAAAAAGGGATTGATCAACGGCAAATGCTTTATCCTTTTTATCCTTTTACAGTATTTGCAGTACGATCGCGGCATACGCTTAGAGGGTATCCTTCACGAAAAAGTAGTGCTCGCTTTATGCTTTTACACTTTATCTTCACGAGTCGGAGAGACCTACCTGGTCATTTTTGTCGAAATTGCTGATTTCGCAGAAGTAAAGGAAGATGCTTAGTTTATTCTATACCTTGCTTGTCACCTAGGCTTGATGGCAACTACCACTCATCCATGCACTTCCTTTTTTAGCCAATGTAGTCTTCTCTTTTCAGTGCTGCTTTTCCTAACCAGGCTTCGCTTATCCATGCTAGGCCACGCTACGCTACCAGGAGACTTACAAAATGTCCGGAATATTTGGATCTTAACAAATAGGTAAAAATTCATGTTAGACTTACTGTACGTGTCAAGTGTCTTGAACTGCAATATGTCGATACAGGCGGCATCTTCGATGAGTTTTTGCAGATTTGAACAGCTGAAAATTTCGTTCTTTCTCTCAACCAGAGAACTTCTTAGAACAAAACAAACCTGGAGTGTTTGCGGATGACGTGAGTTACTCATTATCATAACTAATTCCTCGTTCGGGAGGCAATTTCCTGAAAGCATTGTTCTGCACTACTATGGTCAAGCACCTATTAAGGAATCCTCGACGAGCAGGGGAGAGGGTGGGGAGGCAGGGGAATAGGGTTGTACCAGTTTTTGCTTTGGGTATCCATTTTTCAACTGATGCGTGACCTCGCTCTGTTTCAGAGAATTGCTATTAAATTGGAACCGTTGTTCAAGGAATTTTAGGAAGTTTTATCGGTTAATGGCTCGTGTCAAAAAACGAACGGGGGGGGTTGTGTTGTGTGGCAGTTGAAGACGCTGGTCGGTCTGTAGCGATTTTCCACCCGCTCCCCCCCCCCCCCCCCTGCCTCTCTCCTGCGCTGTGGCCGTACTGAAGGGAAAACGTGTGGTGTTGGTGAGCGTCAACTGATCTCACGATCAGAATCAAACAGAAACAAATACTCTAGAAACGTGATGATGATGGTGGTCGGGTGTAAGGAGAGGAAGGAATTAATGAAGAGACTGCTCCGAAGCCTGGTGGAGGTGGTGGGTCGAATCGAGACCCTTTGGAAGGGGCCTGATTTGCTCTGTCAAATGAATTGATATATTCAGATTTAAAATAACTGATTTTGGCTTCCTGCAGATCTAATAGCAGTGTATTTTATTGTTTAGCTTTCTCCTTAGGAAACAAAAACTAGTGGCAAAATTACAGATAAAGCGATACCGTAGCCATCATCCTGCGAGCATCCATAGATAACCATGTTCATTTCTTCATTCTGCTCACCAGAGTAGTCATGGTAAATACCACGCAAACCCACTGAATTCAAAAAATCAATCACTTAACTCATATAAATTAATCAATAGTGGTACTATTCAACCAGAAAGTTTCTTGTGAAAGAATTGTTCAAAAATAGATCTTTGCAGAACTATAAATCCACATACTCGAAAATAAATGGCCATTTTCTGTGCGCAATTCCATGAAGTAGCCTAATCCTTTCTTTGTCCAAACGCCGTATAGTGGAGGCATGCAGGTTCCGTTTCTGAAGTATAAATTGCACCCCTTAACCGTTCTATACGAGATCACAACTGCTTGACTGCAAATAATGAAATGCTTGAAGTGTGTATATTGCTAGGCGGAAGTGAACTCGTTTTTCTCAAAACAGGAATGGAGTATGTTTTCTTCCTGGCAAACTTCATTCCAATCTGTGCTACCTGGTACACCGACTTCAAATTGTGCATACCTGCGCACAACTCGTAGGCGGACGATGGCGCCAGCTCACTACAGTGCAGAGAAAGTCCCACCTTCCCAGGTTTCCCCTTTCTTCCCTTCAGCCTTACCCATCTTTGTGATTCTACACGAAACTAGAAAAATGCAGGATTCAGCTGATAAGTTCGCCAAAAAACTAGCTGGTTTGCCCTGTCGCGAAGCCTGCAAACTAGGTGATATTCAGTAACGCTCTTTCCAGCTAAGAGCCAGCTAAGAGAAGTAACACTACACAACGGTGGACCGTTCAACAGTTACTATAGAATCTTATTTTTGAATTAATTCTATCTTCTACTGAATTCTTAAATTCACCAAAGTATATCAAAATACAAAAGCTTGCGAGTGCTCGGAACATGAAAATTATCGTACTGGCAACAGAACCTACATTGAATGATACTCAGTCATATTCAGCCTCTCCTCACCGTCCACCTGTAGTCGAATCATGGACGAGTTCACATTTGCCGGAAGGAATGAGCGCGACGACGGCGCCTTTCTCGCTATCACGAACCATGAACCATTATACTGGAAGAAAAAGGAAGATTGTTGAACTCAATATTATCAGACGAGTGAATGTGGCACTGACAGGAGAGGCTGTCTTCGAACCCCTTGCGCCCTGAAACCCTTTTCTTCCCCTTTTACCTAAAACAAAGAAACTTTTTATCTGTCTGCGATAAGTTATGAATTTGGAAGTTGAAAAAATACTAGATTGTAGATCAGCGGACACAATTCTTTGTGGAATGCTTATGAGGAAGCAAATGCCTCTATATTGGTTGAAATTGCATGGTGGAGGTGCCACTTGGGCTGCACCATTTCCTTCTGCAGGCCAAATATGCATGCAACAAGAAGCACGGTTCTGAATAGAATGTCGGACGCACGGCGTATCCCAGAAGAAGGCTGGCGCCACGCACTTTGAGCCCTCACATTCATAGGACTCCACACTCTCATGTGAGATAAGCTATCATCATACTATTCTATACAAGTGAATTCCGGCGATTCAAATTGTAATGTAATTATAAGATGAATCACCTGTGCAGGCCGTAGGACAGGATAGGAAAGTTGAACGCGACATTGTGCAGAACACTGATGGATCGAAATCAAAATGACATCAGAGATCAATATCAATGAGGTGAGAACCCGCGGGGGGGGGGGGGGGGGGGGGGGGGGCGGGGAGGACGCATATCTCACACCAATGTGTCCTCCCTCACCCACCTCCATCAATCGTCTTTCGGACATCAATCGATCTCCTGACACGTGAGTAGCATTTATCAGCTGGACAGCCGGGATATCCTCCAGGTGAGACTTATGCGAACATTTCAGTGATGAGAAGCACTTTTCCGAAGGCAGAGATCATCTTCGCCACAATCCCAGGCCAGGAATTTCTTGAGGTCAGTTACAAAGTCGCGAAGACGGAAGTTGGCAGCTGCGAGTGGCGCTTACTACCACATGGTCCGGGGTTGAAACCTTGAAAGTCTAGTTAAGACAATCGAATATCACGTAATTTTGATTAGTACCAAATCCTACTCAGATTATAAACATTGTCACCACCTCCCACGTCATTGCATAAAAGAATCACGCACTCAAACACGACTGCAATTTAGTGTGGAAGTCAATCACATGGCGTATCCCTTCATAAGTACAAATAGTTAGGGATTTGTAGAGTTACATGTGAATTATTAGAACGATATCGTCAGCAAACCGAAGGTGATAAACGCATGTAAGCTGTATCACAACCGCCCGCTCAATTGCAGCGTATTGTGAACGTGAATAGATCTACGATAACAGCTAGGGTTTCTGTTGTTCTATTCTAAAACACTGATTTATCATTTATAGAGAAACAATAACAAATCACATTTCTTCCGGTGACATTGAACGCGTGACGATCAACACATACAAAGAAACACAATAATTTAAGAATCAACAGAAAACGTTAGAATAGTTTGAGCCCTTTGAGAGCATTCTTCACTTGCTCCTTCGGATAAGGCTTCAACGCGATACATACAGACTGGCCATCTTCAACCCAGACCTGAAAACGAGCTGAGATTAATTGAGCTAAAACATTTCGCGAAATGAATAATAAGATATAATACGGTGGGAACAGAACGAAGGTGGTGTGGTGGCAAGTAGCGCGACGAACACGCGCACGGTCTAGTGTTAGATCTCGGAACGAATCTCAGGCCTGCAAAGCCTTCCGAAGCCGCTTATCGGTACCACACCTGTACGGGAGAACAAAAATCTTGACTAGTACCACGCACGAGTCCCACGCAAGTCACTGCGTAGATCATCGCATTCAAAGTAAATACAACTCCGAGTGGAAGTTGAACACATGGCGCATACTTGGATGGGTTTCCGCAAAACTATCGTAAGTTATCAGTCCAAGCTAGGAGGAGTCTTGATGAAAGCGATAAATAATAGAAGACAAGCATTTGGTATCTATCCATCTCCTTCTGGGATGCGCCATGATTCCGTTTCCACTCAGAATCGTGGTAGCATTTTGAACAGATGATGGCTATACAAGCCTTCAGACGGATAGTAGCATGGCAGCCTGCACCACTTCTGCCTATGACAATAATGAGATTTTGAGATCAAGAAATTTTTTTCAGCGCTTAATTAGGATTACTAGCCAATAAACAGCATATACAACTTTGAGTAAACGACAGAGCAATCCACAGGACAGATGGCAAGTTGTACATAGCGCCTGAGGTCTGACAGTAAACTCCTTTTGATTTGGCCTCTGACAGAAAATGAACATTGAGGTTGTTTCACAAGAATGCTGGGTTGTGAACAAAACTTTCGCCCCAGGCGGGACTAGAACCCGCACCTCTCGCTTTTGATAGGTTGCACCTATTACGATCCTTAATTGAGTTACCGCTCATTAGAGAGACGCATTTTCTTTTTTTATGAGAAGGACTATGATGTGCAGACCATAACACTCAGTGCCACGCCGCCTTACGCCTCATTCAACAGGATCTCTGTTATCAAGTGCATGAATGAATCGCCAAGTTCTCAGCTTCACCGTCCCTCGTCATCCTTGGATGGAAGCCCATATGCCCAGAAAAGCGACTGGGATGAATAGGATTGCCTCAACCTAATAATCTCCATATCTGTTGTCGCAGCCCCTAGACCGTTCTGGGCCGGGTGCAGCAAGCCCCAGCGAGGGGATTGGTCCCCGTTACCCTGTACCCTGCACCTGCACCCGGCCCTTGAAAAAAATTGCAGGCTTTGCCTGAACTCCATACATCCTCATAAGCACTGCCCACCGCGGGAGAGCTTCTATAACTCATACGACCTCCACCTTCCTAAAGCCAGGTGATGGAATGCTCGGGAATTTTTGTGTAATCAAATAGTTTCTGATAGTTACAAAGGAAGGACTGCTGATTCTCAGTATATCCTCACTTTATGGTCCACTTCTCTTCCTTTTAATCGCTCATGCACTTTGATCAGCTCATCTTCTGAATCAACCTAAATATAACGTTTGCTGATAACAGATAGGAATCACTGAATGACCAATCTCCATTGGAACATACCCCTAATGTGATTTTATGCATTGAATCCAATTCTTTCGTGTATTCCTCGGTGTTAGGATCATTTCTGAAAAAAATTGAAGCACAAAGTAAGAAACTGTCGTAAAAGAGTAGCCATGGGAGTCAGACCAATCACTCCTGGGTTATTATTTTTACACAGGCGTAATCCATGGATCGAATCCCAAGTCAAACCTAGCCCAGATCGAGCTCTTGGTAGGAGAAGCCTTTAGGAGGATAAATTGAGGGGTGGGGGAGGGGTTGTCTGCTGGCTTGACAGCCTTTCTTAAGCCGAATTCAAATGCTACTACGACCTTGAATGGAAGCGGTGGGTGTAGCGCACTCATCACGGAATTAACCCACGCCACTGTCTTATCGCTTACGCTTCCCTAGGCGAGTAGTTGCTCGACGTTTCACTCCAGAAAAGCTGCGTGAGCAACAAACAGGGTGTTGTGGTGATCCGTAGCCCTCTCGATTCTTGTTTGGAAACATCCACCCGCTGGTAACCCACCAGCTAAGCTATACCATCTAACATGGCGACGTACGAGAGGGCCCACGTAGCAGCAGCGCGGTGAAAGCGGCGTAGTAAGTGGCGGAGGTGTATACACAATGGGCAGAAGCGTTGATAGCCGTCATGCTATCACGCGCGCAGCCCTGCGCGACGCCGCAACATGCGCTTCTTGACCACCACCTCTCACAAAGATAGCGGGACAACGCTTCGAACCATCCTCCTTTGCCATACCCGCAGTTTAAGCTTGATTATAAGAAAACGACTTCAGTTGTGCTTCAATAAAATCTTTGGGGATATGAAAACGTGGACTTCCTAGATGTTATCACCTACCTAAACAACCACATGGCAGCGGAGGCGGCATGGGCGGCCTGTGTGCAAACAGCGCCCATGGGCCAACCCAACGAGGACATAAGATCTCTTCGCAGTATTAGGTACATTACGTAACATGGCGTCGACGTCATTGTCTAGAAAGAAGTCTAATGGAGAAAATATCCATGGAAATGGTAATAAAAAGAACGAAATCGAGCGGTTAGCGCTAAAGCGATGTGCTCAGAATTTTGGACTAAATTTGAGACAATAATTTGATTTGAAGTGGCCATCAAGCGTAATGGAGCCTCGCACGAAGGAGTAGTTAATCAAAAAGCATCCGAGAAAACCTAAAACAGGTTTTCGAGAGCAGTCAAGAATTTTTGGATGCAATAAAAGTAGTCAAAAATTTCAAAAGTTGTAGGAACTTTACGAAACAGATCGTGTACGGAACACCAAGCAAAAAACACCGGAGAAACTTTATTTTTTTTCCAAACATAGCGAGCACTTGTAGAACCAAGTGTTAAACACCATTAATTACTTCCAATCTGCGAACATTAAGCCCGAAAATATACCAGACTAAAAACTGACACCGGTTAGGGTGGACAAGTAACATATCAACACAAAGAAATTATAAAGCTATTTCAGTGAGTCCAAGAACGCCTCACAACACCGAACGCATTGATGGTAGACCTGAAATTGAAAATTTAAAAAAGAAATCGCAAAAGAGAATGAAGGCTATGTGGGGAACAGGCGCCTTAGGCAGCGCACTTAGAAAGGCTTCCAGAAACTCATTCACATATCACGCATTTTTGAGGAAACTATTTGAAAATTTTAACTGATAAAAAATTCGAAAAAAAAACAGAAACGAATTCTAATTGTTGAAAAAATTGAAAAAACAAGTAACCTGCTCAAACATCGCTTCTCCAGGTTCATAATATGGATCTGGGACAATCAGATTTCCTTCAGGATCGTATTTACCGAGTAGCTGTATTTTGGCCTTTGCTTCAGTTTCCTTCTCCAGGTCTTTCAAATCACTGCAAAAACAGAAGTGTTCAGCGAAGGAGTCCTATTTTGCGACAGGCTTACCTTATATTACTATTATCCATTCCAAAAATATAATCGAATTCACGTAAATCAGCGGTAGTGGTCTAAAAAATTGGTACTTCCATTAGGGACGAAATTAAGTTAGTTAACACCACTCTCGTAAATTCGTACCACTCTGGCTTTATGCTGATAATCCGTGATACCAAACTTCTTCAGTGTGCTCATGGCGCGCCGATCAGGAGATTTACCAGTGTGAAAGTCGATTATAGCGGAGCTGTCGACTATCCACCTGGAAAACTAGAGTATGATCCAGCACAGTTCTTTTAACAAGCCAAACCAGGCTCTTGATAGTCCTTGTTCCAGTAGCAAGGAAGGCTCACGTAAGGAAAAAAATTTCGCACGCGAAAAGCAGAAAGAATGCCTTGTCCTAGTGAACCACACCCACCGATATCTACTATGGACTCCCGCCTCACCGTTTAACTAACCGCTCATCACATTATATGTCAGCCCTGATTAGCTATAGTGAACACAATACCATCAAAATTTGAGCTAATGGTGTTCTGATGTTGTAACTAGTAGCACACCTGTAAGGTAGATGCGCCGGTTCGATTCCTGTCTAGGACGTACAGTATTGCACGATTTCCAGATCCTTGTGAAGAGTTCGCGCCTCGAACTGCACAGCAGAGTTTAACACAGTGATTATCACACAAGCAGGAATCTATCTTACTAAGGTGAGGGCCAATTCGGTCGCACACCTTCGTGCGGATTACGTAGCCTCAAAATTTTTAGGGGACGAAGAGAATCACCGGCTGAGTTATTCAATCCCTTTCTCGAAAATAGAAAGAAGCGTGGGTAGTACTCTCCAAACGGTATAATGAGTGGAAATGTATGTAGAATTTGAATGCATTGGCACGCTCAGCACTAAAAATGCCCCTCCATAGAAACTAGATCCAGAAAGCAAGATGACCTGAAAAAGCGAAGAAATAAAGTAGCTGTCTGACTGACTCATCACGAATTCCTCTCTTCTTGATAATATCCAGAAACGAATAATATACGGCGATGCACACACGGGACAAAATATTTCCCTGAAATAGTAGGGACCGAACCAGTAAATAGAGAAGTAGCACTAGGCATTACTTCTAGAAAGAGACAAATAACTCTGATTATTACACAAGGTGGTCCACGTGCCCGGGAGCTGAACATGCTGCCGGATCGATTCTCAGGCAATGCTGAATTACAACGCATAAGCAATGGCCCACAATTTCAAACGAATTTAATATATGTAATAGAACACCGTGAAACTTCGGAAACATACCCAAGCACACGAACAAAATGCTCCTTTTCGGCGCCATGGCCAAGTTTGAAACGTTGACCCTAAAAATAAGCTTGACATTTATTAAGCTGGTACCCATACTGAACGAAAAAGAAGAGACAAAGAAGAAAGGAATGAAGGTGCAATATGAAACCGATTCGCATACTGAATGAGCGCATTTTTTCTTGAAATGAGAGTGGAGTAGGAATGCCCATTCCTAGAGATACGGCATAATATTATAATGTAGGATAGAAAATTGGGCAAGGAGTGAGAGGTGCGAGAGCAAGCGAACGGAGTAATAGAAGTACGACTGAATGTCGGGACATAGGAAAGGTTAAAAACAAGAAGGTTCGCAATTCGGGTCGAGAGAGGATGCTTTTCAGTATTTGATATGAGAAATAGTGCAAAAGAGTAGATGAAGTACTATATGCTCACAAGTAATTAACAACTAGCTAGAAGAAAAATTTCTCCACGGGAAAAATTCAGGTCCGAAAGGGTTAAACAGCTTGCCGGACAAAAAATGACTGGAACTGTGGGAAGCGCGTCATTTCGCAATGCATGGTGTACTTCAGATGTTTTACACTTTGGTGAGCGAATTATGACGGCTCATTCTTCCCTTTAATCCTCGTCGAAAATATTCGTCACTATTCTCCTTTACTATTTTACGTCTATCATAATGAAGGGCATTTATGGGCCGCTCATCCGTAAGAGTGGCAATCAGCAGCGCACAGTCCGCTCTATAATTCCTTTTGGCTCAAGGAGTCTTTTTTTTTAAAGCTACATATTGCTACCAGCTTTATTCCTGTCTTAATTCTTCAATTTGTCTATCGGCGCTCATCCAGTAAGGGGGGCATCAGGTGGCTGCCCTTCCCCCACCCCTGGGGCCGGGTGCAGCAAGCCCCAACTAGGGGAGGGATCCCCAACCTTGGGGATCCCTCCCCTCACCCAACGAGGGGATGGATCCCCAACCTTGGGGATATATCCCCAACCTTGGGGATATATCCCCAACCTTGGGGATATATCCCCAACCTTGGGGACATATCCCCGTTGGGTGAGGGAGGGATCCAAGGTTGGGGATATGTCCCCAACCTTGGGGACATATCCCCAAGGTTGGGGATCCCTCCCCTAGTTGGGGCTTGCTGCACCCGGCCCCAGACTGGCCGCAGGGTGTACACAGCCCCCCCCCTTTACCGGATGCGCGCCTGTTCATGTAACGTATGTGTTCGTGTGCTGGATGGCATAACCTTCTTGAAAAGCAAATTTACCTAGTGCAGCTGTAGAACTAAGCTAGGAAGACGGAGCAGTCTCCCGCTGGAGGAAAACGAAGATTGCTCACAGATCCGAGGGCCCTCCCTTTTTTCTAGGCTTGGGCCTGAACGTTTCCAGTAAAAGAATATGCCTTCCATTTTCAAACGCGTTCAGCGCTCTTAGCTACAAGCCTCCCCCTTACTGGATGGGACCCAGTTCCATGAAGAAAATCTAAGATTTCTCGAACTTCTCGTGTTCCAACTTTTGTGGTGTGTACAAGTGCGGTGAGAAGCAGTTACGTGTTACATTAATTTTTAGGATGTTACCGTCATGTCGGAACTTGCTCGGTGAAACATTGCGTTTAGCTGAACAATCATCGCGAACGATAGCTCGTATACCTCATTATGAATACCACATAAGGTTCAGCCCTAAAGATGGCCGGAAGCGGCCAGCGCAGGATGTCTTGGATAGGTGAGCGGACGTTGATATTTTCACCCTTGTTTCTTCAAATAACGTAAGTGATAATTTATAGATTCAAACGTCTCAATAACGGAATGTGGATCCATGCACATCCTGGTAAAAGTAAACTGCGATACGCAAAGGGTGACAAGTTCCATGAGACGAGCTTATACCTCGAGACATGTACAAAGGTTAGTTTCCCTTTTGTTTATTCGTTTTTCTACAGTTTTCATTGTGTGTACTGTCTTTTTCCTCGTTGGGTATGCTTGAAAAGTTTCACGAAACCTCTACGCTGCCTGAAGTGTGTAGATAGAAGTGAAAAAACGATGTGATTTGCGATCACGTATATAAAGGGGGGGGGCGATAAGTTGCTTTGGCGTGAAGAAATTCGGTGGCCTGCCTCCTTTTCCCTTATTTCTTTGGCGATAGTGTTTCTCTATGAGTCGTTTTAGGAAGAGTGTGAGATGTTGGATAAAATGATGACTCCATTCTGGTTACGGCGTCATCATTACCCGAATGACCCGTACGCTGCTTACCACGTCCGCCATGGCATCAACAGTCCAAGAGTGGATGACAAAGGGAAACTGGTGCGCGAAAGGCCTAAGGTAATTTAAAACCTATTTTTCATACATATTTGGAGATGTAAACTTGTTTGTTGCTGATCATTTTGCCTTTTAAATGTCAAGTTTGGACTTTTCTGATCGTATATCATGGAAGTGATGTAGCTGCAAGTGGCGCCGCTCACAAGGCGCACGGTCCTGGAATCAATTCCCCTAACGGGTCCCGTCCAGTTTAACCAATCTTTTCATCCGTTCGATATTATCGCGATTATCCAGAATTGTCTATGTCTTAAAAGGGATCTTCTTCTTCTTCGCCTTAGCTTGCTGGTTGAGCGCCCACTTGGCTTCTCTTGTTAGATTTGCCACTTTCTGTTATTCGAGGCGTTTTCTGCCGTGAAATTGGTTTCGTGAATGTCCTTGATTTTATATTGTTTCACTTCTTCTCGGGATCCTATTTTCGCTTGTCCAACTTTTTTTCAAAGCCCAGTTCCTTTTTCATCGAATAGCCCTATGACTCCATCAGTGCGTGTCTGTACTATCCATGCCCCACGAGTTGCTAGTCGCACACCTTCCGCTGGGCAGGGGCAGTCTTCAGATCAAGAATTCGACTGACTGACAACTGACTTGGTCTAGTTGTGACGAGCCGATGAGCACTCCAGCATCTTCATTTTAGCGGGCTGAGGCTGCTCTCATGGTTATTGTGCAAGAACCAGCACTCTGCGTAGAGCATCGTGGTAATCACTGTTTTGTACAACATGCCATCCTTTCTTCAAGCCCTGCACATCACAAGAGGTACCAAAGAACCCACTCCATTTCTTCCGTTCCATTTTATACGGGACTTCACTGAATAGTCCACGCTTTCGTCAGTGACAAGTCCTTTTCCTAAGTTTTCTTGCTCCCTCGATGTTCCACGGCGGGCTGCGATTGGTTCTGTACTTTCTTTGTAGCTCATGTGTTTACGATTACCTAAAGCCCGTTCCCTCCCAGCTCTATAACCATGGGTCCAGGAGGACCGAAATAATGGATCGAAACCACTGGTCGCGGAAAGTTAGCCGAGTACTAGGTCATCTTCAAATACCACAACGATTTTAACAGGGACCAGGATGCATGGCACACTTTAAAAAGATTTATCAACGTCGAATGCTTTATCCTTTGTCATTTATCACTTCACCTTTTGAGATGTAGATTATTACCTAACTTTCTTTGATTACCTTTTTCACGATTATGAAAAGCTTTGCCGCGTCGGCTTGAAAGTACTTGTTTACAGGTTCTTCTTGAAGACATCACGGCCGACCGATACTTCCACGATAGATAAAACTCCCTCATTTATTCGTAGGTCTGTATATTTTAGTATATATTCGTGAAGATTTTTAAGGATTCATTGTGACAGATTTTTGATGTTTGAACGTTTTGTTAAATATTCTTCATCTCCTACCATTAGTTTTTCTTTTGAGATTGAGAAAGGGCTTGTAAGTCTATAATGGTTGAAAAAAGTATGTTGTTACGAAGCGAGTTTTGTTATAAAAGAAGCTATCTCGTCGTTATTGTTAAAGAAGAATGTAAAAGCCACAATGTTCACAAATCGTGTCGTGCTTGGAAGTAGTGAGAAGCGTGACGCCTGGAATTGCTTTACATCGATATTTTATAGTATTCACGTTACTGTTCGGTATACTCGATATCCGAGAGTTGGGGTAGGCGTGTCACCGGAAGTGACGTGCACTTGATAGAAGCTATGTGGATAAGCTGCTTCCAACATACATCGCTGGATATCAGCAAAGCATGCTGGCAACAGCTTATCCACGCAACTTCTATCAAGTGCACGTCACTTCCGGTGACACGCCTACCCCAACTTTCGGATATCGACTGTAGTGCTTGAGTTGTTGAGTTCTAGACGCCTATCGAACTCCATCTCTTTTCACGTGTCCTTCTATCTCCCGCCATCCATCATATTGGAGCAACGATTGGAAATTGTGCGCCGGCTGCTGCGACAGTGCTCGAAATCCACGCTTTGGGAAATTGCGCGATTTGCTGGAAAGAATGTGTGAATACCGATGAGAAACGTAGCCGAGTTCGACTACTAGGTGAAACAAAAGCCGACGTGTACGGTCCATATCTCGCCGTTTCTTAGGGCGTGTCTGTGGATTTGACGTGGCGTCGCCGCACTTGATAGAAGTCGTGTGGATAAGCTGTTTCTAACATACTCCGCTGGATATCAGCAAAGCATGCTGGAAGCAGCTTATCCGCGCAACTTCTATCAAGTGCGGCGGCCGCCACGTCAAATCCATAGACACGCCTAATCAGACGGCGAGATATGGACTGTATCAATATTCCCAACAGAATCGCCAGGCCACCCAGATCGTGAGCTGTGAAGATCGCATGAGTGATAACGTTACGGTCGGTGCTCCGCCTCACGTTTCTGTACAAATCCACGTAGGATGGCCTATTTTAGCTCTCGTGATAAGCTTATGGTGAAAGTAGAGCTTTCAGGGATCTGCAAAAAAAGCTAAGAATAGATCAAAAATCAGAAATGGGGCCTTCTATCTGTCAGTTGATTAGGGGAGTTTGCCGGCCACTTACCAGGGAAATGTTCTGAATTCCCATGGCATTTCAGTAGACCTAGCGAATCGATAGAGCCTGGGATGATGGTTTCAATGTGAAGACCAAAACTGCTACGTGAACCTGCCAAGGAAGTTATTAGCGATCAAAGTGGTCCCAAGTTCGATTCCCCGTGGTGAAAAAATTTTGCATTCTACGTTGGCTCTTCCAGATTGTTGCGAAATGACGCCTCCACTGCGCTCACAATTTCAGCAAGTTCGCGTAGCAGTTTGCTTTTCATATTTGTAACCAGCATTCTAGGCTCTATTGATCTACCTAGGTCTCAATTCAAAGTTCCATGGGAATTGGAAACAATTTCTTAGTTAGAGCTCACCCGGTCAAGCTGGAACACTGTCATCCTGGTAACGGTGTTATCAGGCAATTGCTGCTTCGGTGCCACAATGCACTTAGAAAAGGCAATCACCATGACATAATGGTTTCATTTCAAGTACAGTACCAGTATCGCCCCTCACAGATCCCGGCCGTTGGCGCGTCTGAAAACCTGAGCGGAATTCGAGGCATTTTTAAGGCACTATTTCATGCAGGTAATAGCGTGCGTTTCGCATGAGAGCGTCGTGTCGTTTACCTGCACACTTCTCTACCATTGACAGTTCTCTTTCATGAGCATTCATTCCATCGCTACTTTGGTTTTTCATTACTGTCTGGGGCGCTTATGTCATCAGGGGGACATTCGAGTGAGTGAGCCATTTACAGTACTTGGAACTAAGCGAGGAAGGAAGGGATCCAGAACGTGGATATGAGCATTTTCGATCTTTCTGGCGTTTCTCCCGTCTCCTGGCCTCATTCCTATAGCGTCAACTATCAGCGATTTTTGAAAAAGCGTCTTTAATGTCTACCCTAACGAAATGAGCGCCCTGTCTGGTTGTTTACCACAATGATACTCATTCAGAATATTCGTGCTATCAGTTCAGAATCAAGTTTCCTCTGAATACGATCCTCTGCCATTTACCAAATGCAATTGCCGTAGGGCAGACGCAGCCACTCACCGTCTTACAATTACTACTATACTATCTCACATCCAGTCTATTCTACAGCAAGATGCATGGAAAGTCAAGAAGACGAGAAGAATGGGTACGTTTAAGAAACTTCTCGAACTGGGATCTCCTTTTGAACATCGTTCAAATCACAGGAAGATATTTGTGTAACCGATCACGCTCGTTCACTTGAACAAGTCCGACTTTTGCCTGATTTGCTACAAGGAGGGATTTTTCTTGAAGACAAAACCCAGCTGTCAAGCTCCCGAAGTCGGAAAGAAGACGAGAAATCGAAGTCAGCTGGAAAACACGAAGCCGAAGATGCGGCGGCAGGTATGGTATGACAATGCAATATCTGTTGTATGTTACTGTAAGGATGGTGTGATTTCGATAGCACTGTGCGGCCAAGGGGTACAAGGGTGAATTTTGGATACCGCCGTAGAGTAGTCGGGCTGTGAGGTGCACTTATGCAGATCCTACCCGCCTACGCTTCATTTGGGGGCGCTCATGTCGTCGGTGGGGGGAGGGAAGTCACAAGTGAGCCAGCTATAATACTTGGGAACTTGGGAGTAAGCCTTACAATTATTGAACAGATTTCAAAAGAATGTGAGCAACTTCTTTTCCCTTTGAGATTTCTCCCCTCTGCAGGGATTAGTCCTTCTTCGAGCTTTTCAGATGAAATTTTTCGAATAGCAACCCTTAGCACATGAGCGTCCGTTTTGGAACATAAGCTACTCTCGTGGATTGAAGATGTTTGAATGAACCATACCCTTTACACTAGATGAGGAAGGATGATAGGAATTTCAAAGATACGCTATGATCAATAGGTCAATGGAAGTTAAGGAATGGCGGGTTTGAGTTAGGGAATGGCTGCCGAATTCGGCTTACCCCGCTATGGCAGAGCTTGATCTGAATCATACGCGTTGCGAATGGGAGACTGGTCTTAACAGACTGGCGATCACCCCTCAACACACAAGAGTAACCCTCGATGCACCACCGCATAGTAGGATGCCTAGCTTGAAAGTAACTTTACGGAGCGTTCATAGTTGGCGATACGTATAGTACGTGCGATTAGGCGATGATTCAAAATGAAAAGTATAGGAATCAATTAGGCGAGTAGACGAGTAGGCGATAAAAACAGGTACGTATTGATTTGTTGCTACGCCCATTTGGCGATTGCCTAATTGCCTGCAACGCTCCGGGGGTGGAGCAAATCTATCAAAACATATACAGTCTTCACCGCCTGAATCGCCTAATCTATACGTATATTTTTCATTATAGAAGAATCGCCTAATCGCCTGAATCGCCTGATCGCACGTACGATCGCCAACTATGAACACTCCATTAGGAGTTTTCAGCGATTAGGAAATGAGTGTATATTTATCATTGGATTTTCACCTGCTAACTGCCACAGTAATCTTATAAGTTGCATAGTTACTGCAGTCTTACCAACAAACTGCTTACTAGGAAAAGGAAAGGAGGATGATGAGCACACATGTGAGGAAGCTACAAACATTCGTTTTCCGTTCGATACTTCGGATCAGTGCTCGGACGAGCGAAAACACAGTGATGAACAGAAGCAGTCGGAGGACGCCTCAAGCGATGGGGTCAAGAGCAAGGTGAGCTGTGATTTGCCATTTGCCAATCCCACGACTGATTAAAAGAACTTCCAGGCGCTACCGTGGGACACCCTCTAGGACTAATCGTAAGCCTACGAGGGGGCAGAGAACTTGGAGAAAAATAGGAATAGAATCATGCCTTTATTCTCATCTCCTCCTAATAAGATTTAATCCAGTTTTCAACGAAAAGGTCACGTTTCACGCGTTTTGAATGCATTGCTAGATTGCATTGCCCCCGTATATTGCGATAGCGCTGAACTTCCATTCAAATAGAAAGGGTCACTTCTTCTCCACGCGGATGTAGGCTCCAGTGCAGTCACGTTCATTTGAATTCGCCCGATCCGGGTCTGGCCGAATCCAAAATAAGCACGGTACGGCTTCCATAACTGACGAATGCTCCACTCGCATGGTGAGCATTACCTCAAAGTCATGCCCGAGGACAAATTGGTATGGTTCTTGAACACGAATATGAAAGTATTGGTGCGAAATGAGCCGGCAAGGAAAAATGAGAAGAATTTGTCGAAAACGGAGGTTGAGGGTTGAAGGTTGAAAGAGTCGAAAAGGTTGAGGCTACTCGCCTTCGCAGTGCGGCTGTACTAAAGCATTGAGAGACTGAGCGCGGAGAGGAAAGCATGAGGCGAGAAATGGAGAGATGAGGGGGCCTCCGAAGGCAGCCTGTTGGGGACAGGGAAATTCCGGTTGGTGCATTTAACTTTGCAAGGATCCAGCACCCTTGCAGGGGGATTTCCATACAAGAGAGTGCCACATCTGTGATTGTCCTCTGCTTTTGGTCCATTCTACAGACCGAATAGAATAATTCACACGACTTCTGCCTGGGTTGATGAGGATGATGAGATGGGCTTGCGGCTGAACGCGGCTGGACAGGGTCAGAAGTATGTCGGAACGGTCATACAGACTGCCCCTGTCCG